CGAGCGTCACGGTCCACGCACGCTATCAGTGACAAGTGACCTCGTTGAGGATACGGAGGTGGTCGACAACGAGTCTGACACTCCTTTTCCCGCGTGGGATGAAGAGGAAGGCGAGTCGCGCCAGCGGCGTGATACGAGCCCTGCTCGCGTCTTGCGGACCCCATGTCCGTTTCCTGATTTCTCGTCACCTGAGGGACGGGGTGTATCACCAATGACCTCGACGGGGCACAGAGGCAGCAGCTTCCAGCTGCCCGTAAAGCGGCTCTGATGCGCGCCCATCCACAGCCGATCATTGAATCTCGTGTGGAATATGGCTTCCGCCCTGCGCATCTTGCTGTGGAAGCGAAGGACGCGGTAACTCGATCGTTACGCGTCCGCATCGTCGGGCCCCCGACCATAACGCTTTCCGAACAGAAAGCACTCGAGCTCGTTTCTTGGTTCTACAAGAATTTCCGTTGGAAGCTATCGCACTCGTCTGAGTGCTCAACCAGGTGTCTCTCGTGTGCCCGCAATGCGGACAATACTTGTAGTGCTCGCCCCTGGCGAAAGCACTACAGATGACGAAGCGATCGTTCAGCGATGTGTGCAACGGCACCGGAAACTTTCCTCGCTGTATAACTTACAATTAAGCCGCAATGAAGTGGACGTGCGTGTGGAGCGACACCACCGATTTGGGTTTGCCAAGCTCAAGGCACGCCGTCGACTTCTTTCGGATTGTCGCCCTACGATGTATGGGTCAACCCCTAACGCTCCCGCGAGCTCTGTGTCTGCGACCGCAAGAGCTCAGGGTCACTGCTTGAGCTCAGCTCATGGCCCTTCTACTTCCTTGGCTATTGCCGGGAAGTGCGGGATCCCTGATCATTCTGATCAAAGCGTCTACAGCGTCTGGGCAATCTTGCCGAAGTGGCGTCTCAAACTCCCACGAGTTTTTAGAGTCGGGATATCCCCGCCACTTTACCAGATATTGGGTTTGACCCTGGTGACGACGTCGTCTCACTAGACGTTCCACGTGATAGTGAACGTCACCGTTTTCATCGAGAAGAGTTGGTGGCGGGCGGTGACGACCGGGTCGACCGCCGTCTAATGACTCGTGATGCTCTTCGAGCCCTTGAGGACGAGGTCCTTCGTGATCGGAGCTCCGC